TACTGCAGGTCCAAGGAGGATCCAGGAATGGATCCCTGGAGACCAGTCAAGCCCCACTGAGGTGGCTGGGAAGGAAGGTAAGACCTGAAGAAGTAAAGCATCAGAGTTTCCTGAAGGTGTGATTGGCTACATCTTAGGACTGGGAAAGTTTCCTCTGTGCTTTTCTGAGCTCAGCTTTTAAGTGCCCACACCTCTCTTTGAAAGGGTATGGTGTCTGTGAACCTGGACATCTTTCAGTAATGATTTAAGTAACTCAGAAAATTGGAGTGAAAGAAAGAGACGAAAGGAAAGGGGAAAAAAATCCGCTTAGCCACCTTGTTCTGTTTGATCTGGCAGACAGCGGGCAACCACGGAAGAAGGCTGGAGATGGGGATGGAGGGTGGGTAGATTCCACTTGGCGGTCTCCTCCCTGAGCTCTGTCTGCTGTTTGGACTTGCAGACTTCAAACATGACTGGGGGATTCCTGGAAGACAAAAGAATTCGGGGCCGAGGCTTGGATCTCAGTCAAAAATAACTTATGTCTTCATCTCCGGCAGGCAAACAGCGGCAGCTCAGGGCTGGTTTGCCAGTTTCTCAGAAGATGGGAGCTACAGGTGGGGAGAGGGTCAGCTTAGGTTTACTTTAGAGAGAGAAGGAGCTGCAGAGGGTGTGGGCCTGGCTAGGGGAAATGGGAGAGTGGGAAACCATTGAAGAAGAGACCCAGCAGAGGAGGTTCTGATGAAAAGTCACCCCTGTTGATCCACCACCCCGCCTTTCTAGGCACCTCCATTTACTTTGAGCGATAATTACAGCTTTTAATGTTCCTTCCCTGGCTTCTCATTAGCTTAAGGTATCCACAAACAAACTGCTGGCTCCCCTCACCCCTCCTCTTCCCGCGCCTAACACATCCTCCTGGCTTCTCAAGGGCAGCTGCATTGTTAGCTCCCAGGTTCAGAACATCAGCTGCTCCCTGAACATCATCGGAGGGTGCATTCCCTCTCCACTGCCTTCCCCCCGTTATCCCACTGGGCTGTAATTAGAGGGTTATCTAACTTTCTCCCAGGAGGCCAGGGCTTGGGTTCCCAGCACCTTTGCCAGAACCTGGCCAACCATGGACACTCACAGTATGTCATTGCATGGCACTGTGGGCTGCTGCCAGCTTCATCTTCCTAAAATGCTACTCTATTTAGAAGCCATCCCTGCTTCCCCAGCCTCCTCAGACTGGCCCACAAGGACGTCCGCCACGTCTTCCTCATCTGCCTGGCCACGCTTACTTTGTGCCCAGCCACTTCATGGTTCCCCACATGATCAACAGCTTTCCGATCTCTGCTACAGTGGTTCCCTCTACCCAGAAACCCTTCCACATTCCCCACCCCAAAGCTGCCCCTGTCTTTCGAGGTTCATCTCAACAGCTCTTCTGAACCCCTCTTTCCCAATGTAAGAGTCCGGATGTTGAAGAGGCCTATGGATTACAGCCTTGATTCCCAGGATGGTGCTCTTGGGAAGTGTGGGATCTTTAAGGGCTGAGGCCTAGTGGGAGATCTTTAGGTCACTGGGGATTTGCCCTAGAAGGGGATTGTGGAACTGCACTCTTTTCCTCTTCCTTTCTTTTTCTTCCCGGTCACAAGGTAAACCAGTTTTGATAGGCTACATCCTCCTGCCATCTTGTGCTGCCTCACCACAGCATGGATCATGGACTGAAACCTCCAAACCGTGAGCTGGGAACTTTTAAAAGAGTTCCTGGGTGTGGACTGCTGACAAAATGAAGAGCAGGGTATATGCCTTGTTTGCTGTCATCTCTCCCTACACCCCAAGAGTCCTGCCAGGGCAGGTGTGTGTAGCACATCCCCTGGCATCTATTAATGCCTAGCCCATGGCAGGTCTTGAGTGAAAGTGAGACACCATGACCATTCCTTCCCCTTGAGCAGAAGGTCCCAGTCCTTCAGCTGTGTTAGGCTAGAATAGGATAAAAGCTAGCAGTCTAAGATACTCCATGGCCACTCCCATCCCTTGGAGGTTTCTAGGTCTTGGGTCCCAGACCCCATGTCCCATTGTCTGCTGGGGAGCTGGCTGTACCTGATTGCAGAGTCCCCTGGGACTGAGGTGAAGCTGGTGTGGCTGAAGCAATGTTAAGGACATCAGGTGAGAGATTGTTGGGCATCGCAATTCATCCCAATAATCTCCAAGTCCAGATAGTTATTCTCCTTCAAGCCGGAGCCAGGGAGAAGAAAGAGATCTGCTGAAGGGAGAAATCTGGTGAAAGGCTGAAATTCTTTCTTAGGAGACTTTTGGGAATACTGCCAGTAGGAGACAACTGCTTCAGGGGAGAGAAGGAGGAACAAGATACCCCTCTGAATACCTCTCAGATCCTTACTTTGCCCTTTCATCTAACCGCTGCTGATCTTATGACCCTGCAGTGGATGGTACTACTCCTGTCCCCATGCTTAGATCAAACTTCTTATTGAACTACAGCTAGAGGGGGGTCTTTTATTTTTTGAAACAGGGTCTTGCTCTTTTGCTCAGGCTGGCCTCTAACTACTGGGCTCAAAACCATGCTCCTGCCTCAGCCTCCCAAGTAGCTGGGAGTACAGCTGAGCACCACCTGCACTCCACCAGGAGGGACATTTTAAAATGTTACTCTCATATTCATAATCCTTCAGTGACTCCCGGTTGCCCTTAGGGTGAAGGGCTTTTCTCAGGAAACTCACAGCCCTTCACAACCCTCTCCCTCCAGGCTGACTCTTTACATTGAACATCTTGGTCTTATTTTAAACCAGGACAAATGGCTTGCAGTTCCCCTCCTATGGCATGCCATCTCTCATTCCAACCCTTTGCTCATGCTGTTGCTTCTGCCTGGATGCCTCCTCTTCACCTTCCCACACATTGCCTAGATCTGGGGGGCATATCCTTTGAGAAGATTTCCTGGATCCACATGAACCTTCCCCTTTGGCTTCTGTATCCTCTGGATTCCCCTGGAATCGAGGACTTATCCTGGTATTGAGCATGACTGTTGTCCTGAATTAAACCATTTCTGGTGGACAGGGTCTGGGTCTTATTTATCTCTTACTCCTAAAGCTCTATCACTAGTACTTAGTAGAAACTCAATAAATGTTCAGGAGTTTAACTGAGACTGCTAAGGTTCCTTGCACCTGAGGGAATGGCAGGATTGGATATGTTAATGAGAGATGTCCCTGGGCTGGAGAAGAGACAGAATTCAAGGAGCAGCTGGAGTCAATACTTCAGGGTTTCTGGGTTATCTTAGCGGAGTAGCCAACTCCTCTGTGTGTCCTCTCCTGCAAGTTCCCCTGGAACCAGGCTTCCTGGCTCACTTCTCCAGGCCCCAAAGATCTGAGTGTAACAGAGTCAGCACCCAAGTCATGCAAATGACAGCATGGAGTGAGAGAGGCAGGGACACTGACCTCAGGGTCCCCAGTAGATGCTTATCCTTCTGGGCTTCTTTCCACAAAGAAGCCAGCTCCTCTTCTGTCCCCTGAAGGCTGTTTTCAAAATCACACTCCATGCAGACAGTTTTATTTACAAGGAAATCTTGGCAGGATCTTGACTTGTTAGTAGAGTAGAGATTGGGGGAGGGTGGTGAGAAACAAAAATAGTTGAAATGATCACACTTTCTGAAACTGAGATGAAAATTGGTGTCTGTAGCAAACTCACCTAATTAGAAAGGAGTTCATTTCCTTCTTTGTGTTTTAAGGGGAGCAGTCATTGCTGGATGAGCTGGTCACAGGTGGGATCCTGGGACTGGGGTTATGGGTTTGCCTTATGAAGATGAGGGCATTAATTGCAACTTGCAGAGCCTCAGTTTCCGAGATGAAGGCAGAGGGGCAAAGGCCAGTGAGTGTGTGGGTAGTTGGAAGAGGCTTGGAAGGGCACAGACTTGGTGCAGTCTCGCTTCTACTGGGAGATATCATCAGGAAAGAGCCCTTGAGTCTTCCAGGGAGAGCTGGGCACCTGTTCCAGCTGGTCACTGCCACCAGTTACAGACAGAGCCTCTGCTTAGGGGATACGATCTTCTTGGGGGCTCTTTCCCATAGGGAAACAGCCCCAGGTCCTCCCCACTTAAAAAATCTTTTACTCTTGCTAACTTCATTCCTGCTTTTTAGTTTCTTTTCTTCCTTCCCTGGGCTCAATGTGGTTAAACGAAGTCTGGGCAGTCATGTAGTTCTGAGGTAGGGAGTTCAAGGTTTAGGGTTTGAAGTCTCGGGGCCTCTCTTATCTGACAACTCCCATCCATAGGCGTCCCGGGAGGGACCTCCCAGCATCTGGGACCCTCATGAACAGAGGTAGTTGAGGGGGCATCCCTCCCCCAATTCATTCCTTGTTAACCCTGACGTTGCCAACTTAGTGTAAATCTCTCTTCTACCTCCGTCACATATCTGTTGCCTCCAAATTATCATTAACCGGGTGAGGGAGATGAACCCCGGCTCCAAGAGAAGGCTGCTGTTCACGGGGCAGGGGAGAGCGCAGTCCCCATCCCCACCCTGGACGATGCAGCCACTTCCCCGCCAACACCGTTGCAGCTCTCCCTCCTCCCGGGGCCGCGCAGCTCTGACCGCCACGGCCCGGGCGGTGGCGTCCGGGCTCGGCTGGGGGGCGGGGGCCGCGAGCCCCGAGCGCCGCGCCGCCCCGCCCCCGCCCGCGCGCCGCCCCCGAGGAGTCCGCGGAGAGGAGGAGACTCCGGCGCAGAGCGGGGGCCGCGCAGAGCGGGAAGGGAGTGCGGGGAGCGGCGGGGCCGGGGCTGGCCCAAGGGCGCCCTCGCCTCGGAGCCGGGCGCAGGGCCGTGGCGGAGGCGGAGGCCGGCGGGGTGGCGAGCGCGGAGAAGTTTGGTGGCTGGGGGCCGGGCATCCCAGGGTCGCCGGTAAGCGGCGGCGGCGGCGGCTTGGGGCCAGGGCCATGGGGGCTGGCGCGGGCTGCGGGGCTGGCGCGGAGGCGGCGCGGCGCTCTCTGAGCCCCGGGAGCAGCGCGGCGGGCGCGGCGCAAAGTTAGCCCGGCGCCCCGGGACGAGCGCTGCAACCGCCGGCCGCCCCTGGACCCCACCTCGGCCATGGGCGAGCATCCTAGCCCCGGCCCCGCAGTGGCCGCCTGCGCCGAGGCGGAGCGCATCGAGGAGCTGGAACCTGAAGCCAATGAGAGGCTGCCCGCGGCGCCGGAGGATGTAAGTACCCCCTCCTCCGCCCGGGCAAACTTTCTGGGGGGGCGCCAGGGAGAGTACAGTTTCTGTCTCACCCCCGCGGGGCAACTTGAAGGTCTCAAGGTGATGCCGGAGCGCCCCGATTGGCCGGGTCCCCAAGAACCGGAGGGGGCGGAGGGAACGGTCTCCCCTAGGTGCACACGCGCGCCACCCCAGCCCCTGCTCGGGCTCCCGCGGCTTCCTTGCGGGACACAGCCCTGGCCGCTGCGCCAGGGACCTGCCGGCCGCGGGAGCCCCCTCCCCGCGGCTGGTGCAGTGCCCGGGACACGGCGTTTTCCTGCAGAGGCGGCCGCGTCACAGCAGTGACTCCCCCTCCCCTCTCTTTCGCGACCTGCGGACTCTGAGCCCTGGGAAGAACGGGCGCCGCAGAATCCCCTGTCTCCGGCAACGCACACAGGTCTGGCGAGCCTCTTCTTCCTGATTAGCTCCCTCCCGGACACCTGCCTTGTCGCAACACTGTTTGAAATTCAAACTGCCCCCTGTCCATAAACCCCGCCAGAGCAGGGAAAGAAGGAGTGCTGAAAGCGGTTTTGCTCCTAGAAGGGAGCTCAAGAGTCTGAGATCACGTCGGAGCTAGGGACAGTCCCCTGGGCGAGACCAGGGAGGGGCCACCCCAAAGATCTTCCCTGCCATCTGCTGTTCGGGTCTCCATCACGCCGACCGCAGATCCAGCGCTGGGAAGCCCTGGGAACTGGAGTTGCTTAAGCTTCTGCCTCCCGGGGTTAACCTACAAATAGGGATGAAAAATTGGGCAGACACCCTGCTCGGCCCCATCCCTCCCTCAGGGAGGAAAGATAGAAGTGAAACCAGGCCCCCAACCTACAAAACCAAAACCAGAAAATCTGAATGGGGCGGGGAGTTTAACATGTCTCAGGCTTCTATGGTTAAATTATCACTTCCTTTGGGCGCCAAACCCGTGGTAGAATCTCGTGTACCCACAGTTTAAGGCTGAACCTTGGAAGAGAATGGGTGAGTTTCAGCACCTTGGGAAACCGCCCTCCCCCCAACCCAAAATCCTGCAGGCAAAATGTTAATGTTTATGCAGGAGTCCCTTCTCCTTAGCAGGGCTCTTGGCCCCAGCAGGGACTGAGGGAATTGCACATGGGCATGCATTCAGAGGCGTGGGAGTAGATATGGACATAAACTTTAGGCAGAAGTTATCAGAGGCCCTTGATCAGAAATGTATGCCTTTATTTGGTAATTTTTGAGAATCATCCTTGTTCTACTCATATCTCCACCTGACTGTCCCATACCTGAGACACCCACCTTGCTGCCCCCATCCCCACCCTCTACTGTGACTTCCCTCTATTTGTTCACTTGGAAACAGTTAAGCAGGTTTTCCCCGGATTCTTGTGGCCAGTCCCTGAGCCTAATTATGACTCCTGGGCAGTAGCTGGGAGGCTAGGTCAGAAACATCAGGAGGCTACAGAGACCTTGGTGATAAGTGTGTCTTTCTTTCTTTCTCTTCCTCCTCTCCTGCATGGCCTCCCTCTCTGCCAGCACTGGAAAGTCCTGTTTGATCAGGTATGTGAGCAGTTAAATACCCCCCCCTTCCTTCCAGCCCTCTCTGAAATCAGTCTCCCTCTCCCTGCTTTGCGTGGGCTTCCCTAGCTCTGTGCTTCTGAGGTGGTGACGTCGGGTGGAGGTGTGGCCTAGTGCATTTGGGGCTGGGCAACACTGCTCTCCAGGTATCAGGAGGAAACCACCGGCTCTCTTAAGAGAATCCCTCCCTCTCTTCCTCCCAATTCCCACTGCACCAGAGCTGGATTCATACCATGTAGAAACCGGATTGTTTCTACAATACAACATGTGTTGAATGCCTGGGAAGTTTTCTGTAATCAAGGGACTTGCAGTAGGAGGCTGGGGAGGTGGGGGAAGGGCTAGAGTTAACCATCAGGCTTTCTTTCTACTTCCATCATCAAAGGTCCATGGACACCATGAAGTCAAATCTCTGCCATCCTTGGGGAGTGCCTCACCATATGAGCTCTTTTGAAGGCGAATTTTATTTCTTTAATTCTGCAATAATGATGAGGGAGTACTGGAGGTTACAAATGGAAATTAGTTTGTTATCATTTGCAATGCCTAGAGTCTAGATGCCAGGAATGGAGTGGGGAGTGCCTAGTATTGGCTTTGGAGCCGGGAAATGGACATTTGACCTTCAACAAGGAAGTGGTTCTTTTCTTTGCTTGGTACTCAGGTGCTGTTGTGCATTTGCTTTCCCCTCGTGGTCTGTAGGAGAGAGATGTCCTAGTGATGGGGGGTAGTGAGCGCTGCGGTCTGAGGATGAGATGACAGTGTCATAGATGTTAAGTTACACAACTTGAAGAGATGAGTCTGTTTGGGCCAGAGGAGATATGCTGGGTTAGAGAGGGAGATAAGGCTGAAACAACAGCTTGAACCAGACCTTTATTGTGGGGAAGGGAAGTGTTTCAAAGTTTTTAAGCAGGGTTGTTTCAGGATCCAGGCTGTGTTTGGAAAGATCCTGTGTAGTAGTGAGATAGGTGAGGTGTATTGCAGGAATGAGAAGCTGGTCAGGGACCTGCTGCCAAGAACAGACTCACTTGTGTTAGTCAGCTTTCCAATGCTGCAATAAATACCTGAGATCGTCAGCTTACAAAGAGGAAAGGCTTAATTTGCCTATAGTTTTGGAGGTTCCTGTTGATGATTGGTTGACCCCACTGCTTTTGGGCCTAGAGCAGCACATTCTGGTGAAGCAAAAGCCACTCACTTCATGGCCAAAGAGCAAAGGGAGGGGGGTCCTTTGAGGACACACCCCCAATGACCTAAAGACCTCCCACTAGGCCTGACCTCCTAATAGCTCCAAGCTGGGGACCAAGCCCTTAATATATGGACTTTTGGGAGACATTTATCCAAGTAATAATACAACTTGGAAGATAACAATGAGCATGGACAGAGAGAGGGACATGTGATAGGAGAACAGAAAGATCTTAATAGACCTGCAGAGCTGAGGAGGGTCCACATTACCTGAGATTCAGAAGCTAGGAGGAAAGGGAAAAGGGGGGATGGGGGAGGAGGGTTGGCAAAAATGACAACTTTGGTATAATTTGAAGAGCCAGCTAAACACAGATGCCCAAGTGGGACTGAAGCCATGGAATTTCCAGGTGAAGGACTTGGTGAGCCTGGACTGAGGATTTGGGGTTATCGTTTACATTACCCATAAGGCTCTGCTGCAGTGCATCCACCAGCTGCTGTCCTTACAGGATAGAGCATCTCTCCCTGGGCTCCTGAGTGCCACCCACTCTCCCTCTGGTTCCTAAGGGTATAGCAGCTGCTGGCCTGGCACCCCAAGCCCAAGGCAGGAGGGAGCCCACTGCTGCCACTGCTATGGCTACCACCAAGCTGCCAGCCCTTCACACCTCCTGCCAGATTTAGAATCAGAACCTAGAACAAAGTGTATCATGTTTTTTTTTTTTTTTCTCTGTGTCTTTCACATTTTTTGATTAATTTCCTTTGCCAGTTCCTATGGGTGTGTGTGTACATTTAAAAACAAACCATTTGGATGAATGGAGGAGAATTTTTAGTGGGAAGCATTTGGGACTCCAGGGAGCAGAGAGAATGTGTACCCAATATTTCATTTTCAGGAGGGAGGTCCTGAATATCACCAAGAACATCCCCCTGCTTCTGGAGAAGCCCACCTAGAAATCATTTCTGGACAAAGTTAATTCTAGGAAAGAAACTACCAAAACTTTGGACAGTTTTATCTCATAATAATTTCCACATGATGCCTACTCTCCATCCCTCCTGAGGCATCAGAAGCCGGTTTCTTCCTTCCTGTTGGTGCTTTGTGTTTAAGGAGAGCTGCTCCTAAGCATGACTTTGACCTCTGGCAGATGTCCAGTCCATGTGCATTCATTGCCCCCGTGCTATTAGCTATCTTTTGACTGTTCCCCTGACAGGGCTCAACAAGGCGCAGGGATGAAGCCTTTCCAGTGGATATTTGGTCTCAGGTTGTTCAGAAAGCTGTTAGAGTTTCTCCTTCCTGCCTCTTCCTCTGGGACACTGGTGCACCTGGCACACTTGGGGAAGAGGGTGGGGGTTGAGGCAGCCTCCCCATCATTTCCTACCAAGTGGACAGTCTTGGTAGGTCAAATTGTGGTGAATGGGACATGCCACCTATCATGAGTCCCTGCCTCCAGAATTCACTTTCTAGAGGTCAGTGGCAGGGGAGGTCAGTCTAGTCAGGCACATCCTTCCTCCCCTTCTTCGATCAATGGGATACCAGTGGTCACCCAGTTTCAAACTGGGGTCTGTTGGGCTCTGTGTCAGAAATGGAATTGAACCAATTCCTCCAAGCTGTGTGGTTCTTCAGCATGTGGAAACTCATTGACACAGCATGAAGCTAACAGGACCCCATGATGTTGGCCTTGTTGGTCCCATGGGGGTCTCCCTTCAACCAAATGTTCAGGATGCCTTTTGTGGGTATTGGAGGTGAAAAAAGTAGGTGACCCCTGTCCTTGGGTCCCTGTTGTTCTGGCGTTTATCTGGTCTGCTCAGGTGGGGATGTAGCATAGCCAATCCATGCCATCCCTTGACAGCCCCCTTCTGCTTCCCCTTGGGCTGCAGAAGTCACCCCAGGCAGGAAATCTGAGGGTTACAGTTCAAATCCCAGATGTTCCATGTTTTCGTTTTCTACTCAGATTTTTCCTTGAGGGAAATATCTTTTCTTTTCTTTGGGATCTTGATGGTTTTCTAAATATTTAAATAGATTTTTAACGTTACCATAAATATGAATCTGTTAGTTGTGATAGTACAATATCGTTGTAAAAAAATATCTTATTTTTTTACTGTTGAATCAGTGGGGCTTCTCTTCCACTCTTCCTTCCATTGCTTTAGACCCAAGACAGTTTGCATCCCTCTCTGGATCTCATAAGGATGCCCTTTTGTTTCCTACTACTTTTTATGATTAAAAAAAAAATCATATATCCCTTTACTCCACCTGGATATTACTCCTATCCAGTTTCACCAGTATTGCTTATTAAGAAACCCTTTCTTGGGGGCTGGAGCTGTAGCTTAGTGGTAGAGGGTTTGCTTAAGTACATGCGAGGCCCTTGGTTTGATCCTCAGCACCACATAAAAATAAATAAATAAAATAAAGGTATTGTGTCCAACTACAACTAAAAAATAAATATTTAAAAAAAAGAAAAAAGAAACCCTTTCTTTATCTATTGTTTGAAATGTAGTTTCGTTTGGCAAATTTTATATGTGGTTGGGTTCCTTTCTGATTTCTGATCTATGCCACTGATATTTATAATTTTGCACAGATAATATGCCCTTTAGTTACTGCTTTATATTTGTTCCTGAAAAGCTCCTTTTTTTTCAGATTATGTTCTCAGTCCCTTCCTGAATCCTAGAGAGGTTTGATCTAAGGTCAAATATTTGATCCAAGGTCAAAGAGTAGGTCAGTAGCAAATGTGGGACTGGAGCCCAGTTAACCCATACAAGGTTTCCTGGGTTGAAAGAGCCATTTGCAGGTTCATCCTTAAAAAAAAAATGCCTCCAAGATCTTTGAATGTTTTATGAGAAAAGGGGTTTGGAGCAGAGTTCTGTTAAGTCAACAAGGCACAATGGCACAATTTGAGTTCAGAAGAGCAAAAGGGAGTAGAAAGAATTGGTCATCACTTGATTTTGTCTCCTCTTTCTCTGGGAACATGCATTTCCCAGACCCCCCATAAATATAAAGAAACCCCAATTTTGTCAGTCTCTCAGATGGGAAGTAGACAAGTATGACTATCTCACCAAACTTCTAAACAAATGCTACAAACAGAGCATGGGGCAGCTTAGATGGGCTTCATGGGGCTGAACCTCATATTTGGAGGTGGCCAGACCTGAGTTTAAGTCTTACTGGCTTGTCACTGAGGACAATTATATTAACTCTCTGTGCCTCTATTTTCTTCTATATGAAATGGGGACAATGATCCTTAACTCCAGGATGACTGTGAGAATTAAGTGAAAGTGGAATCGCCTTTTGCATTATCTGATTCCTAGTGGACATTTGACAGATGGGTCTTGACTAGGAATCAAAATTTGCTGGGAGGAAACACAAGGATCACTTTTGAGATCTGGGTTCCTTGAGAGAGCCACTTCTAAGCCCAGAGGATTTTTCTCCTTTCTTTCTCCCAGAGTCTCCTCTGCCCAGCCCCACTCCTCCTAGCCTGGGGGTCTTCCCCTCGCCTGACCCAATGCCCATCTCATTTGTAGTCCTCCCGCAAGCTGGCTTAAGGGGTTCTGGGAACTGAGAAGAGGTTCAGATGAGACTGCTGAGTGGATTAGTGAGGAGCACAGAGAAAACACTGCCCCAGAGACAGCAGCATTGGCCATGGTTCCCGGAACACACGATTAACCATCAGAACAGTTCCCAGAGGGGGACAAAGCCTTGGATTTAACTGGAGCCTCCCTTTGCACTCTGTACCCCCAACCCCTTACCAAGTGGCCTCAGGGACTCTTGTGGCTGTGGACTCACCTCCACCACAAAGCCAGATTCCCTGCCCTGCCCCTGCTTCAGT